GCTTGTTCTAATTTGCTGATTCTCTGAGCCCACTAACTAAGGGCACAAAGGTAAACTTAGCTGGCTTCTTTTTGGCCTCAGATGAGCTCAACCACCTAGGTAAGCTCAGCCTTACTGCTTGGTTTTATCCACCCACTAAGAAGGCAAAGTAGCTCTCCATAGCAATTTTCTCAGTTTAATCTCCCCAAACAACACAAGAAAACTCAACCTAGTGTGTTTTAGAACACAGAGACAATGCTTACCAATGTTCACCTCAAGCCTTGATTTAGAGGTCGGGGTAGTTGGTGAGCTGCATCCCCATCCTACTCTCCAACATGCAGACACAGTTGTGGGGAAAGAGTGGGCACTAAGTCTGGCTGCTCCATCCTAGCTCTCTCCAGAAGAGTTTAGAGCCATGATTAACCCTTAGCTAACCTCTCGGGATATTGCCAGCAAAAGGCTTTTTATGTTACTAATTAAGGATGATGTTATGTACAGCTGAAGCAATCAGGCAAGCTGTACCAACTTGTCAGGACTCATAGGGATTAATTTGCACAAATTTCAAGATTGATGACACTCCTAGTTTCATTGTGGAGCCCTGAAATTCAGTTTTCACAGTTGGTTGTATAGTACCAACTACAGCAGTCCTCTACAGAAACCCTGGATCATGAGATAAGCCAACTTGAACTAGAGGGAAAGCATATCTTGTTTGATCAAAGAAAAGGAAGCACTTGAAAACATTCCTCTGACTTCTCAGAACCCTTTCCTTTTGCTCTTGGACCTTTGGCTATATAGAACCAGGTCTGTAAATGCAACTAGCTGTGGGGTGTTATTCATCCTTCTTGTGAATCAGAAAACAAGGACTGCAATCAAGTCCCTGAAACGTAAATGCTCCATCTCACCCAGAAGTCCTGGGCTATGTAGTCCATGTAGCGATTCTGTTCCCTCTGGCCAGAGAAAGGCCAGGGCCGGAAACTGAACAAATAAAAAGTAGCTGAGGTGCCTGCACTCCTGGAGATGCTGGCTTTCTTTTGTTTCCTTTGTTTCAGTTGATTTGGGCAGCTATTTAGGAGGGGTGGTCACTGATGCTACTCCTGCTTCGCCTGTGGCCTCTAGTATCTGAAGAACTTGGCATTCCTTCCTCACCATTTGCTTCTAGCTGTATAATTTTTCTGTCACGTTTTTTCCACTAGAAAAGTTTTTCATTTTATCATTTATTTTACTTCTCCGATTTCTTCTGAAATTGTATGTACTAATCTTATGGATATAGCTCCTGTGGTAACATTACATCTTAGTTATTAGTTCAGCTGTACCTTCGAGAAGACAACTTTCATTTTTTGTATATTTGTCTGTTGCACTCGGGCTATTCTCATGTCCCTATCTCATACCACAGATACACTCTCCCACATATTTAAATTTCTGGTAATTTCCTAAAATGATAACTTTCCTTAGATTAAGTTTGGAAATGCAAATTATTTTCCACTCATCGATGCAGTGATTAAAGTAGATCTAGAGGGTTTCACTTTCCCCTGGATTAAGCATTATGGAGAGCCATGGGTAGAAGGACCAAGTTTTCTGGGCCTGAAACCAGTAAATAAATCTGAATCCTTTTCTGTTCCCCCTAGAAAGGTTCAGTTTGCTGGAGGGCCTGAGGACCATAGTTCTCCTAAGGACATAGAATGGTACAATAAGCATTAGCTCAAATGTCTGTGTACCAGATGGGGAGGTCGATATCTCAAACGAAGCGAGAATAGGATAGTGATAATTAAAAACAGAGCTATAGTGTATATCCTAGCATATATCACATGAGACATGGGCAAGGGTAGACTTCCTTTCATTCTTACAGTGCTATATCATGTGTCAGATAACTTCATGTTCCCTGAATATCAGTGAGCTCCCATACCTTTGAACTTGACAGAACCAAGTGGTGAGTTTCAAACAGGAGCCTATCAGCAGGAGTGGTGTGTCACTTCTCTGCTGTGGCAATGAAAAGCTCTCCTTTGACCTGTCAACTTCTTTTCTGTGTCACTCTGATCAGGAAGCAATGTTTGGACAGATGAGCCGCAGATGAAACGGTTTGATCTCCAAAGTCGTAATTTAGAACAATTCTGTTAGACTCATAGCAAAAATCAGTCTTTGTACGATAAGCCAATGGTACTGCAGGGTTAATTTATCATCAGTGTAGAGCCTGAGAATCCTTGGTAATAAAGTTCCCAGAACTTGTACCTCTGAGAGGTTATAATGAGGAAAACCCTGCAACTGTCTGAATGTACTCTAACTTGATTCTGAAAAAATGTCCTACTCAGTTTGTATTTTCCATTCCTTGATTGTCTGGAGCTAGAGAAAGAACTAAGATTTCTTACAGAAAGAAAAAAAAAAACATAAGGGAACATCTGAATTTAGGTGTGTCAGGAAAAACTGTAACTGATACATTAATAATAATCCTATAACTGCACTATACTATAAAGTATATATCTTAATGTCATCAATTTATGTTCCAATGTGCTACTTTTGATAGGACGTTGGTCCAGGTTTTCTAAAACTTTACTCATTTATGATAGAGCACCTATTAGGGCTATACCAAGCTGATATGTATCATTTTTTAATGAAGAGCAAGTACACATAAAGCATCCAATCAATAAGTGTTGCCATCCAATCAATGCTGTCATGGGGGTGGCGGCTGGGAATCCAACCAACCGTAAGTTTCATGCTAACAGCAAGGTAATTCCCCAAATCCGTGATTGTATGGAAGCAGATGACATAAAATATGATACTGAAGATAACTGGAATGAGCTATTAAGGTTTGCTCTTCAGGTTCTTTTCGGGTATGTATGTGTCCCTTTCCACAGGAATCAGCGAGCAGCTATAAAATGTCTTTCATGTTTGGAAACTATGTTTTGCTGTTTGTCAGAGGCAGAAATCTTTGATTATATTGTTTTGTAGAACTCTCTGTCTTGGAGAGATGAGGCGGTGGAAATAGGTCAAACAGTTTTCAAGATGAGTACTTTTCTTTTAAAAATCTATGGGTAACTTATATGAGCAGATTTGCCAATATTCACATGTCTCCTGAGTGGCATTTGGTTTACAGTCTTCTGATTGCTGTCTGGTGGTGAATTGTTCTGTTTATAGCTTCGAAATTGCTATCTGGGTGACAGTCTTCTGTTACTAATCTCATGATGGCTGTCTAGTGCCTCAGCTCCCTGTGGTTCACAATGCAGCTTGATAATTCTGCAGAGGGAGGTACAATTAGCTAACTACGCACCTGCTCAGCGTACAGTTTTACGATTGTAACTCGCAGATTGATATATGTCTTGGGCATATGGTGGGAGAGCTTGAAAACAGAAATTCTATATCAGGTTTTTCAAAACCTAAATAAATGTATCTTTCCACATCTATAGAATAAATTCTTGATATTCTGTAAGGATGTGCATACACACACACACACACACACACACACACACACACACACATATATATATATATATAAGTTTTGTAATATTCTCTGATATATCAAATGGGAAAACAAGTGTCTTTATCAAGCACATTCATAATACTGTACTCAATCAGTAGGTTCTCTACATGTTTTAATAGTTTTTACCTACATTTCATTTATATATGTATATATATGTATATATGTATATGTGTATATATATATATATATATATATATATCCTTTCCTCCCTCCCCCCCCTTCCCCATCCCTCCCTTCCCCCCTCTCTGTCTTTCCCCATCCTGTCTCTCAACAAGGTCTCACTATGCTTCTCAGATTGCTTTTGAATTGGCTTGGAGGCTTAAGCAATCCTTCTGTCTCAGCCTCTTGAGTGCCTAGGACTACAAGAATGTGCTACTGAGTACAACTACCTTTACCATTCTTGAATAGAAAGAACCTGATTCCCCACTGCAGCTAAGTTTCTTGCATGAAGCATGAGCAGTAGAATGCAGTGCTTAGTTGTATTAGAAGAGTGGTAGTCAATTCACTAGTGAAGGCTTGTAGTCCATAGTGAAGGCCATTGTTTCAGCTTAGCATGATCCTATTACAATGAGGTTCTTTTGCAGAGAGAGAAAAAGCAGTGGCTAAGAAAGTAGAGAAAAGAAATACTCTCAGCCGCAGGCTGTATTTTTGAGGGTTAGTACCACATAGGAAAGGGTACATGTACCCAAGACTTTAGTTTTATTTTCCCTAGATGAATGACCAGGACCATTCCAGTAACATATATCTTAAAGGATCTAGAAAGCTAAATGTTCCACACATGCAAAATAAGTTCATATACTGCTAAGGACATGTCATTTGCATATAACTCTCATAAAGTCTCATGGTACCACCAGAAATTGCAATTGTACCTGAAAATATTGGGAACCCGAATGGTTTCTCCCATTTTCTCAACCTGTCAGTGTCTTAAAAAGCCAAATTCCCTGGACAATATATACACTATATCTCTTGAACACTATGAAACAACACTAATTAGGGGTGGAAACTTTAAAATATCCAAGGAAGGGCAAGTGAGAACATTCCCCACAAATAGCAGGAGGAATCACCCACAGGATAAAGTTTCATAAATGAACAGACTTCAGCGAACTGACTACAATATATTATATAGAAAATATATTTATGAGTGAGTTGACAACATTTGTAATCAAATAATAATCGTAGTTTGAAAGACTAGTATGCTTTCTGACAAAAAGTTATTGGAATTTTAAAATCCTTAAACTTTGGAACCCTGAAGGAGTAATACATAAAACTTACAGAAGAATTACACTAAGGTGTTTAGAGAGGAACTTGTTCCTGTCAGCAAAGTCTGTGAAATCTGTCTACTACAGTTCCAAGCTCTTCAGTCTTTAGCTAAGTGATTCACTTAGGTCTCAAGCCCCTCTCCTACTGCAAGTCCTGTGTCAAGATTTCATGTTTTTTATAAAAAACTATTCCCAATGAAACATTTCTGTAAACTGAAATGTCAGCGGGAAAAATATTAACGCTATTTAGATTCAACCTACAAAATATTTTATTATTATTTTATTTCCAGATAAACCAACCACAGTTAATTAAATGGGGTCTACACAGATGAGTAAGTCTGGACACATCGACAGGCGTGAGCCCAGATGCTGTGACCATGGGAAACATTTCACAGTCCAAACCACCAAAGGGGCCTGGAGAATAATTAATGAGATCCATAAGTATGGGTACAAAGAAGCCCACTTTTATATCTTCAGATTGCTAACTCCAGCAAAACCTTCCTCTTCTCCAATGTTTTTTTTTCTTATAACAAATTTCTGACACAGAAGAGAACATTTGTTTCATATTTTATTGAATTTCATTTATATTAAATTAAAAATATATTTCTGACAGATTCATGTAACAAAAAGGCAGAACAGTTTTCAAATTGTTCAGCTGGGATGATCAGTGTGGAATGAGGTGAAGCAGTTCGCATTCCTTAATCACCTTGCACAGGTACAATTCTTTCCCAAGAGCCAAAAGAGGATCCTGGAGAATTAACTGAAGAGCCTAATTATAGAAATTTAAAATACTCTTTCTCCCTCATTCTCAAATAACAGCAGAAATGGGGGCAGGACAGAAAATGGGGTGAAGGGTTGGAGATGAATGAATAAGGGAAATTATACTAAAAATATACCTAACATTAAAAAAGTTAGTATGTGTTAAGTGCATAATCCTTCATCAATAAAATAGAAAAAAATAACATTACACCACACACAATTGGCATATCCTATTGTGTAAGCGAAAGCAGAGGTTGGACACATCACGATAGTGCTAAACACAGAATCACAAGTAATGTCAAAATGGTAACTTCCAACCAAAAAGAAACAATCACAAGCCAATTACTTATATACAAATCAACCCTAGAGACCATTATATTCCAAATAAAGATGTTCACAAAAGAAAATCAAAGCAACATTATCCTTATTTACAAATGCAACTAGCCATGTCTTTAACAAGCTATAAAAATACTATTCACATTTTCAAACATACAGTAGTATTTTTGTCTGTATATTTCAAAAAGGCAGCTAACTTTGAATGCTGGGATTTAAATGAAACATTGATGGCTTACCAGCAAGTTATTCTTGTACCTCTATCCTTTGAAGATACTTCACAAGAGAGAGGCCTTGTTTTCTGTTTACAAGTTAAGAAAATAAGGAAATGAACACAACTCTGCCTTTTGGGTAAAGTTTCTCCCTTTTTTCACCCAAACGGACCTTAGTCAACTGCTTTGACGCATGCACAAGATGAGTGTTTGAGAGAAGATTGAATGTGATGTGGTTTTTCTTTGTGCTGTGATTTGTCTTGCACGTTGATCTTCTAATGATGCTCGAGGAAGGCATAGACCGCTAGTATAAGCACGTGAAAATGCACAATCACCATGCAGTGACACAACCCCTGTTGCTCATGATAAAGATGGAGACACAGCTGAGATATGCATTCAAAGTTAGCTGCCCTCGCATAGCTGCTCAGTTTAATAATCGACCCATGTAACAGCAGTACCAGTTTATGCTACATATTTCAAAGTACCTTACTTTAAAACAACAGCTTATGTATCTACATTTAGAAAATAACTTTTGTAGTTTGATTATGGGAGTAATTCGAAAAAGGGTTCTTGGAGTGCTATGGTTGTAATCCCCTCACTCCCCCCTCCCAGCCCCTGAGAGATCCAGAAATATACAGGAAATATAACTGCCACGTTATGAGGAAAGGTACAACCCCTCCATGAACCAAAATATCTGGGCATGATGTTTGAAAATCAGGTTTATGTCAATATCTAGGCGGTATGGTTTGCTTTCCTTCAAAAGGGCTACAGGCCTGGGTGAAACCTCTATATATCAGGGGCAAAAAAAAGCAGTAAAGGCCAAGTGATTTGGACAAGCTAGACTATTGCCTGAATTTTATGAAGCTTTGTTTTTAGATATTTGTATATTTGTGCAAATATAACCACACTCATGATATGGGGGAAACTCTCTGGAGTATTAAGCAAAAAATACCCCCCGCAGAGCCCAAGTAGAGAAAGAATGGCACTCTGTTAGATCACATATAGTTTCACTAAAGTGAAACTGTGCTTGTTATATATTTGTTAGATGGATATGTCATTCAGAAAAAAAAAACAAAAAAAAAACTGCAGAAAGCTCTCCAAGTTGAACAGCCTTTACTGCTAAGACTCCTCATTTGAGAAAGAAAAGAAATAACAGCAGCTATAAAGCTTTGGCAAGCAGGAATTACATAAGTTGAGTAAAGTAAATAAACTAATTTTCATGCAAAAACTAACTCCTTGGTTCTGGACATCATTTGTATGGAAAGCCCAACTCCCAAACTTGGAAGAACATGGCGTATGTATGAGTTCTGAGAATCGTCACGGGTTACCGCATCTCAAATTGCTGTAGAGGACAACGTGTGAGAGAATCAACCTTCATGGCGAAGCAGCTGTAACACGCAAGTGTGTTCTTTGTGCAGTAAATTATCTGAAAAATTACCTAATATCCAAATTGATGGGCTCTTTTATGGAAAAATCAGACATTCGAGGGCAAAGTCCAAGACAGTCTTTCACAGAGCAGGGTGTGGGACCCCAGGGATCCATTATGGCTTACGAGAGGGATGGTGCCAGGAGAGCCACTGGGAACTGTGCTGGTAGGAAATGACAAGGATGAGGACACTGTGCCAATGAGAAAAAAAAAGTGAGGGTGCTATTTTCCTCTAAGTTTCAGAGAGAAATAAAGTTTTCTGTGATTCTTAGCAAGGTATCCCTTATTTGCAAAGTTGAGTACTTTCCACAAAGAGGCAGGTCAGTATCCAGGAAATTGGGGCTTACGACCTTTTCATCATGAGATGCTAGAAGTTATTCCTTCTGCACAAGTGTCACCTTGCTGGCAATGGAACGAGGCAGGGGTCTGCAGAAGTGACACCTCCTACATTTTTGCCCCTCTACACAATCAGTGATAATTGAACAGAGCTTTTGGAATTTCTACTGTTTCAGAGATCTTTATTTAAATGAAAGAAAGACAGAAAACACAAAGACACCTGGCCTAACACGATGCGTGTAGGAGCTTTGTGTTCATGATGATAGCAAGAACTCCTTTTGCAAAGGCATCTCTGCACAAAGAAATTTTCTGTTGATTCTACTTGGAAGTATAAATCCTAACTCTGTTGTGATATTAGTAAGAATTGGGTCGCCACTGATAGTGGCCCTTTACAATCATCTTACCTATATCTGTATAATGTTATTTATTTTTAAGCAAACGGCAAGTAGGAGACATAGTCTGTCCTTCTGGGCTTACATGAGAATGAGGCTGCCCTCCAGCTTGATGGACACCAGTGTTCACAAGACACAGAGAGACCCAGTAAGACCCTCTGAGAGTATGCTATACTCTACAGCTTGGCTTCTCTGGCTTTTAACAATAGAAGTTTATACACCTGAAATTCTCACCTGTCCCAAAGCAAATCATCAGTCTAAAAACTAAAATTGGAAAGAAAGCTTGATTTAGTAGGTATTTATCAGAAAGATTTTAATGAATTCCTTTCTGGTTTTTGAAGTGACAGAGTATGATGGGAAAAGAAAGTAGGGGTCACGAATTAAATGTATTTTGCTTTCTAAATGCTATTACTCTTTTTGTCTCTCTATAAGGTAACAGAACTATTTCATTTCCTTTGTTTTTAAGACCTGTTCAAGTCACATGTAACATATTTGCCTATTAAAAGCTACAAGGTGGTGGTATTTACAAAAACTAAAACCAGAATTCTCCTTGTACTTAATACATTTAGAAAACGATAAAGAAAGAAGAAGATGAGAAGAATTTTAACTGTGGAGCTTTAAATCAAGTTTTCACCATTGGAGCCACATATATCTACTTTTAGCTAATCCAAACAACAATTTTAAATGACAAACGTAAATATATATATATGTATATAATTAGGCAAAATGCAACCCATATTTTCATAGCCCAAATTTTATTTTGCTACATATACTTTATGGTTAGTTTCCTAATTTGATTTATTCACTAATATTAAAATCATTTAACACTTGATAACCTAACTAAATCTACATCTTTCAACATTATCATGGTTCCGTCCACTTATATATACATGTTTTCATAATCACCTCTTCTATTACCTTATGGACTACATATACTAGTTAAATAATCAACACTTACAGATGGATGAAAAATTCAAGTTTTTAAAGAAATGTTAGATAGCTCTAAAAGAAACCCCACTTGTATTTACATCCTTCCCTGTCCAGCTGAAACTATTTAAATCTTCTTTTCCTATTTGACTTCAGGAAGGACACTGATCACCACCCCTCCAGCTTAGCAGTTAGCAGCAGATTCTCACAAAGCTTTTATTCTCTTTCCTTAGCATGGAACTCCGTGCCATCCTCGTACCATGTCTTTCCTTCAGAAGGTTCTGGCACCCATATCAATCACAACACTGATAAAAAGGAGCACTGTTTCTTTCCACAAGTTATAGTGATTCCGTCTTTCTTCCTGATCACTGAAGGAAGTCCTTTAGTTTTAGTGAGTGCATTTTAGGGGGATTTAAATTTTGCATTGTTTTTCATACCATTTCAAGAGTGTTTCTGGAGAATCTTTTCCTAATCCATGCTGCTTACACTATTCAAAAAGCCAAGAGCTTATGCTTCTCAGGTTTACATACTTTGTTCTGCGTATTTCCATGGGTATCGTGGATTTCTGCATTCTGATATTGCAAAGCACTTTGCGAGCTTCAGCTGGCATTTTTAAAGTTTACTTTTCTGGATGAATTATTGTCTAGAGCAAAGGAAACTCTTTATTCTTCTTACACACTCTCAAATGTGTTTCTGGGCACTAAAGTAAAACAAAGGAGAAAATTCCAAACCACTGAAATCAAGCATGTATTATAGAAATAACTCAAAATGAATGCTAAAGTGGTACTACTGAGAAGCACCTGGGGGGATTTTAAACTATACTTGCACCAACCCGTAGGTTTTAGTGAAAGATGACCCAACGTCGGTGTTTTGGTTTTAGAGGAAGCAGACTACATTCACTAACTATATGTCAGTTCCACTAATAGCAAAAATAGTATCTTTCTTCCTTTACCAAATTAAGTAACTTTGCTTTCTAATGCCAATGGAAGCCATATGAATACTACCAATGAAAAAACGAAATCAAGAAAACTCGAGTCAGATTTATGTAGTATAGAATGCAAGGCTTACGTTCAATTCTTCAAAACTATTGATATCAGGTCTCCTTTTCCTTGCGACTCCTCCAAATGAGCAGGAGAGCTGTTAGCTCTCAGATGATGATCCTGAGTCATCATGAGTCTTTATCCCTGGGAAGTTGGAGACTGAACTTCAACAGAAGGAATCCTATAAACTGCTCTTCTCCTCCGGCTCACTCTTTTAGCTCGCTGTACTTCTCATAGCATAAGAAGAGACCAGAACCTCCCAGGATTTGGCCAAAGATCATCACTGGCTATTGAGAGTGAAAGGTAAAGTTGCCATCTAGATGAGCCAATTAGCCAGGGATGAAAGGTTCCAACCAAAACTGTGTTTGGAATGCAACGTTGCAACTCTTCAGTTTGTTCATGTCAGTAATTTGAAGGATGTTCACATCACTCCCCAAATGAGTTTACAGGATATGTTTTACTAAAAACCTAAATTTGTAAAGTTGCTCACAAAATAGACCATATCATCTAATTCCTTGAACTCATGGAAAAATTAAAATGTCATTCTATATGTCTCCTCCACTATAAAATTTTGAAGTAAGGGAAGATATTCCACTCACTTGACTATTTCCCCTTTAACACAGTGCTTTTAGGGGATTCTAAATAAGCAGTAGTTAGATAATTTAGGTTTGGATTGGTTGTTAGATTTATGTTTTTTCAAAATAGGTAGAAACATAGTTTTCTTTATATTTTTCCCTTTAAGCTCTCTTCATATTAGTAACACAGATTTTTATTGTAATTGGTTCCCTTAAGATTACTGATACTTATTTGCTCCTAATGTTTAACATTAGAAAGAAATAACTTTTAAAAATTTAAATGACTCGAAGCAGAATTTTGTGAAAAAGAGAGATGTGTATCCAATTTTCCTAATTACTAACATAAGGCTCTGTTTTCCTGGAGATTCAACACTTATCACTCATCTTAACTTAGTAGATGCTCTTTTACAATAAAACAGAATAAGGATGGTTCTAGAATTAGGGTGCATTATGTGAAGAAAAATAATTATGACATAAAATATCAGAAGATTAATATTTTGGGGGTAATAAAATTATTCCATGAGATGATTTTTCATATTTATTTACAAATTTTGAGCCAAGGTCCTACCCATAATGTGAATGTTTGTTTTTATTCTTATTACATTGATTTATGTGCAAAGAGGTACCTTCTACTCCATATAAAGTCTCTTACTAGAAATTCTACAGAATTCAAGCCAATCCTTAACTTGCATTCCTTCATATGAAGCATATAAACTAAACAAATTTCTTGATGTAGCAAATGTGATCTTATATGTAGATAACGTGCTGGCTCTCTCACCATAATCCCTGGATAACGGTTCCAAAGTCCTAATTTGGTTGGCATTTTCACAGTCTGTCTTTATCTCATCTTTTAAAAAATGTACTTTATTAATTTGCTGGTTGCTTCCATATTGCTTCATTCAACATCCAAAATGGAGTCCAGAAAAAGAAGAAATAAAATTATAGCTTAAGTGCAAACTACATCTCTGAGTGCCTGCTAGGTAGACATACCCAATCCAGTGTTTTTCTTCCAGTTTGTGGATTTCCCCATTCTACCATCCCTGGAAGTATCAGTAGTTTTCTTGAACCACACAGGACTGCCTCTTAGTTACCCTAAGTTACCTTAAAATTACTAACTGCCAGTCAAATACTGTTGCGGATGGAGGAGAAGATATTAAAGACTATAAAGAACAGGGGGACTGCATACACAACAGTGTGAACATGAAAGCTAGATTTGATGCTGACTTGACTGGCATCTTGGCCTTCCCTTCAAATTTTAAAGATTGTTTTTAAAATAGTGACTTCTTCATTATATTAACTTTTTTGTTTAAATTGTGTCAAGAAGATTTGATGTAAATATCTTCACAGAACTAAAAGCTCAAAAAATAGGAAAAACTAATATAAATGAATAAGCCAAAGTAAAAAAAATTTTTTTTTAAAGCACAAAGCCTTCCAAATATAATGACTGGATATCAATCTGATGGAGATTTAAAAACCATGGCAGCTGGGTTGGCCGTTTTTACTTGCCAGTATAGACAGTGTTGCAAAAAGAAATGGGATTCTCTATCTCACTCACTATCCCCTTACTGAGATGGCTATTTTTTTTTTGTTGTTCTAATGGAAACAAGATTTCAGTGCCACTGAATATGCATACATGGATTCCTGCAGATAGGAACAGATAGCATGGTATTTCATCCACCTGTATTTAGAAGTAAGTGAAGGAAAGAAGGAAGAGAGGGTGGGAGGGAAGGAGGGAGAACAGGAGGAAGAAAGGAAGGAAAGGAGGAAGACGAGGGGGAAGAAAGTAGGAAGGGAGCACAGCAGATTGGCTGGCTGCAAGCTAGCTTGGCAGTAGGCAGTATTATCCGATGTTTTATCTTCCTCTGGCTGTCCCACTCTCCTGAGCAACCCATGCAGAGAAAAGCAAGTGTGGTTCCTTCTGGTTTTCTCTTTCTGCCCCTCTTTCTAATGCTCAAGTTAGATAAGCACATAATTATCATTGCATCTCCCTGCCTTCCACTGGGAAATGTCAGAACTACTGGCCTGGGGGAGAAGGAAGATCACCAGAGAGAAGGGGTCGGGATGGGGAAATGGAGCGGGCCTGTCTTTCCACCTTCCAGGACTTCCCGCTTACACCACAGTGTTCCGGTGTCTGTAGGGAGGAGGAGGCAGCACAGTGCCTGGCTTCAGGGAGAACTCAGAGAGGTATTCAGGATTCTCTGCCACGATGGGCCGGATCCGTCCATTCTGTTTATAAAAATATTTTGTGCTGTACTCCTGCAGGTAGTCTGGGTGCTGGAGGGTGCTCCGAGGTGGCAGGCTGTGGTTCCAGTAGTCAGGGTTGTCAAACGCTTTTTTGGCCTTCTCTGGCACAGACAGTACACTGTTCTTCAGATACTCGGCCTTCCCCAAGGCGTTGGCAAAGGTGTTGAGGTACAGCGGCTCATTCACATACTCATCCTCTGTCTTGGGCGGGCCGTTGGCAGCTTTGTGATACTCAGGATTATCCAGAGCTTGCGGGTTTCCATTTTTCCTCCGAGAAACAAAAGGGTTTTCCTCCACGGGGTTCAGGTATTCTGAAGGAATGAAAGAAGCTCAGGTAACATCTACTTTTGAAAAAAAGTCAATCAGTCCAAAGAAATGGGCAATGGTTGGGTTCTGTCTAGAGCTAGACAGCCACACATTTGTTTTCATGAATTCTCAGCAAAAATGCTTTGTAAATTGTCACTGGCACACAACACAAGGAGCTAGTGGGCCCAAAATATCAACAGTAAAATCAGGCACTGATGAGCTCAGGATCAGAATTCTCATTCTCTAGATGGTTCTTTTTAAATTCACACTTGTTTGCCTTCCATAGAAGTTTTAGTTTTTCAAAAGTTGATAATTTATCATAGAAATTAAGACTACTATGGTGAAATAGCCTCTCCATGTACATGGATGTGAATTTTTATAAAGACTTTTGAAAAATCCAAGGGTTTAGGGGTTAGTCCTGTGCCAAGACAGGATGAAGGAAAAGAATTGTATTTTTAGTCTATTTGGCTTGCCATGAAGCCTTGTAGCTCTGGTAACAGGAATTTAATGGGAACTCTCTCCAGGAAGCTTTTACACTGATGAAAGGAATCATCTAAGGAAAAAAATCCACTAATAAAACAACTCTGATGGACATTCCTATGCCTTTGGTTGACTTAGTGGTGCTACATATGCACTTAACAATAAAGCATCATTAGATCATTTATTCCCAATGTCCAATCATAGTGACAGAAGAGCAAACCGCTAGTTTGAATTGTATAACATAGTTATTTTGTAAGTTAGAACCAATTGGTGGCTATTTTGTGTGGTTCAATCTAACAAATCCATTTGGAGTACAGGTATCACCCTGAGATAAATAATAATAATAATAATAATAACCAATGCTATTGTTCTCAAACTTAATTCCACTTCCATTTCTATATCTCTGACCACAGAGGCACATGTGTACATGTATTAGATACTCTTTGTTCTCCATTTCATTATATACATGAAAACCTGAGCTATTCCTATTTTGGAGTCAGGACAATTGTACATAAGGAGGGCACATTTACTTTTCAAATACCACTCTGAAATAAATTGTATGTCCCCTCTTCTTAGCCCAACATGTAGGTAAACAAATTCCATCAAACTGGGTTATTTTTCCCCTCACTGTAGAAAAACTGACTGTAACTCAGTATTTAGCATTTCTTGTGCAAGCTCAAAGGTAATCATGAATAGGAATGTCTGCACTCAAATTCAATTCTTCAAGGACAAGGCTAGAAAATAACAACCCTGTCTAGGTATTTGCATCTCAATTTTCAGATTCTTAGAAGTCTTTTGTTTACCTCTATCTGACAACTCCCATTCTTATATTGCCTATTTTGTTTTCTCAGAGTGGTCTGGCCAAGTTGCTCAGCCTGGAGTAGAACTCTAGATCCTTTAGCCCCAGCCTTCTGATTAGACAGGCTTACTGGTGTGCACTGCCCTGCCCAGCTTCACAATTTCCACTGTATAGTTGCTCGCGCAGTGGACATCTGTGAGCACCTGGGTCATACCTTGTTTGGGTTTGTCTCGCATAGGAGTCATGTAGCCCTCTTCATCCAGTTCTCCTCTTGGGCTCCGTTCAGAAGCAAACACGGTGGGGTCTGCGCTGTACCTCTGGGTGCTGCTGTCCTCTTGGGAGTGGGGTGCCACTGGTTTGCGTAGGGTCCCGTTACAGCAGGAGTCATCGAAAATCTCAGCAGTGGCGCCTTGTGCTGCTGGCGCTTCTGGGATGGTGCTGGTTGTGGCCCGGTAGGGCACGGGCATGCCTTGTTCTGCAGCAAAGCCTCCGTCCCGGTATACGAACTGGTTCTGTAACAGCAGAAACACATTTGGACAGAAGTTCGTGTGAGGAATGGTGGTATTCCTAAAACTATCAATCCTTAGCTATTAACTAAATAGAAAAAGGTTGCCTTTCAGAAAAACAAAACCACAGGACTTATTTATGGATTTTTTTTTTCTTACTGGGTAATAAAATTGAGTCAGAATAGAAACATTTAGAATTATCTATTTTTCTTGGAATGTAAATCACAGGAAAATGAGATAGATGCATATTTTAAAAAATTCATTAACCAAGTAAAATATGATCAAATATAAAGAGCATTTTATGTCCTTTTCCCACAATGGTCTATTTTAGATATAAAATTCAGAGTAAGTTTTCATGATAAATGGCGTTAAGAGTAGAAGTCACTGACATGGTGACATTTCCTACTGACTTCAATTCCATGGCTTGTCTAACTTTGAACTTCCAGTACCTAACTAAAGAATCATCAGTGAGACTTTGACTTTAGCACATAACCTATAATCAGGGAAGCAAAGATAACCTCATCATCCTGAAACATAATTTATGAGCCCAGGTAAATCCTTCAGATAAAAATTGAAAGCTACTGTTGTATGGTATCTCAGCTTTGGATTATGCACTGAGATAAAAGACATCTACAAAGACAGCTACGCAATCTGCAGAAATTCTTAACTCGCTCACTGTTGGCAAAGGCAAAATGTGAAATTTATGAGGTGACAGGAGAGAAGAAACATGGTAGTCAAAGACCAAAACTCCTACTAGATGAAGGGTGATCGTGAAATACTTACTCCCGACATGGGGGTGTAGGCAGGAGGAGGGCTGTGTCCAATTTCACTCTAATAGAAAAGAAAAATGGGATGATGGATATAATAAGAGGCAACATGAATGAAAAAATTTAAAAAGAAAAGAAAAAGAAAAGGTGCGTGAGCTGTGTGGACTAAAGGCGAAAACGTGCACAACAGTGAATTTTCCCACACTTAGTAAAAAGTAGGCATTCTCACCACAATGGATTTATTTATACGCCGAGGAATTCAGTAAGTAAAGCCCAGACAAGGAAAATTATATTGAATAAACAAAAGTTTTCAGTGGATTATGACAATAAATATTCTGATTAAATATACATGTAAATGAGGGACAGTTCTTTCTTTATGAGTTAACTGGTTTCATAGCTAAGCATCAGTTTTCCTCTTAGAGGAAAAAGAATGTGTCTGAAAAAGAGTTAGAAGTGGCTTTCAATTTGCTGGAAACGGTTTTTACCATTGTTAATTTTTTACCACTTCAGCAAAGGGTCAAGTTCTTAGCCTCTATTTGTAAAAAAGGTACATAATACTTTATCTTTGGTCTTTTTAAACTTAAGAAAGGAGAAGAAATTTGAAAAATCAATTACTTTTCTGGAAACATGCTTTACATTCCTTTTATGTACTAGGAATCAGTCAAAAACCAGATTTCAATTTAAAAACAGAAAGACATCTATATTTTTATAGTTTAATAATCTATCCTTTGGGCTAAGTGGAACTAGATACAAAGTATGATAAATTATTAAGGACAACATTCCTGAGGGTAAAGAAAAGAAATTGTGCGGATACCAACTCTATTATTTTTTAATATAAATACACACGCACACTCATTTAAACAGATTTCTTGAGGATCTGATATCTATGTGTCCAACACTTTTCCACCTTTACACACTCTGTGGATAATGAATAATACAGGTAAAATTTGTACAAAACTAGCTTTCTCTATATTCTGATGTTAAGTAAACAGAAATGACTAGAACCCCCAGGACACCTACATGTTTCATATGAAATATGGAAAACATTTTCTCAGGTCAATGTTTATACAGTTTATAGAATCACAAAGCAGTCTATGAAAAATATGGTTGCATGGACATGAACAAGTTCATGTAACTCAGTGACAACTGAATGACACATTTTCCCATAATGAACCTGGTCTGCTGGACCAATCAAAGGGTAAACCCAGTACCTTGAAAGTGAGTTCACATTTTACTTTCCCCACCACCATGAGAGCCTAAAAAACACATGCACTTATTTTCTTCTTAATGACACAACTAATGATATGTTGAAGATTATGCCATGGGCATTCAGAGATACATATTTTTTAAAAGATTTTTTTAAAAAATCACTTTGATTCACATAAATGTTACATATCAGGTAATACTGTAAGGCTTTGATACAGGTATACATTGTGCAATGTTTAAATTAGATTATGCATATTTGTTCTAAAACATTTATCATTTCTTTACTGTGAAAAGAGTCCTTTTGCCTAGCTTTGGAAGTATACAGTGTGCCTCTGTTATCTGTATTTCCACCACTGAACCACAGCACACCAGAAATTCTTGCTCCTCTGAAACTGTATCTTAGCACCCACTAATCAACCTTTCCTGATGCTTCCTCTCTTCTTGCCTCCCCCATTGCTCTAGGCTCGACTTCTGTGAGGTCCGTTCTGTAGGATTCACATGGGAGTGAGATCACACAGTACTTGTTTTAATTTTCCTGGGGCTTATTTTATTAAACAATGATCTCCAGTTCCATTTCGTGTTTAAAATTATAGGATTTCTTCCTTTCTAATGACCAAATGGTATTCTTCTGTGTCCATGTACCTCATTTTCTTTATCCATCTACCCAGCGATGAGCACATGTTGTTTCTAGAGATATATTTAGTGTGCAACACATAGGAGGTGGTCGTATACTAAACACAGATTGTCCCAAAGGAGTTAAAGGCAGCATGTTCAGTGATACATGATTAACCATGATTATAGCAGCACAATTAATAACACCTAAACCTTGGAACCAGCCTGTATGTCCATCATCAGATGGATGGATAAAGAAAATGTGTTTGCACATAACAGAATACTACTCTACCATAAAAAGTAATAAACTTCAGTCTTCACAGAAAAACGGATGTCCCTTGAGACCATCATGTTAAGTAAAACAAATTGGACCCACAAGCTTAACAAACAGCTGTTTTCTTTTACATGAAAAAGTCAAGATACAAATACAGTGTAAAATAAAAGATAATTCGAGAGCAGGGAGATAGATGTTTCTCAAATAGGAAGGGGAAAAAGAGAGGAAGGGAGAAGAAAGGAGGTCAAAAGAGGAATTAAGATGTGCTGTGGACCTGGAACAACTCCACACAAGGGATGTAAACATGTATTGCACACTTATATTAATAAGAAAAAAATCTAGCGCTCCAGTTCCAATTAGAATTGCCATAGTGTGAAGTCTGTCATTCATGAGACACCTCAGACATTCACTTTCATCTTTGGTCTCTAATTTATTCTTAGGGTGACACAGTCATGTAAACATTGTAAGCTCTGCACTACTGGGTGAATGAAGATGTATCAAATTTAAATTTTTGCATCCACTAAACTGTATAAAGTCAAGCAATCAAGATGTCAAAGCTGCTCATCAAAGAGCCATTTTAAAATGCTTATCTGTTCCCTGATCATTTTAAATACTGGCTTATTTTGCTCTTCTAGAAACAAAATCAAATAGACTTGTTCATAAAGAGGAATTGAAAAAATGTAGTACATTGATTTGTAAAATCTAGAAGCTTGGTACAAAATATGACAACTTCCTGTTGGATGCTAGTTTATTGTATTGCACACTCTGGCCTTACTATACTATGAAACTCCCAGTCTGCAAGGATTTAACTATTTATTACATCCCAGAAATAAAGGGTTGATATTGTGGTAGATGCAACAGACGTCATGACATATAGAAGGAACGTGGACTTTTGGGACTTACAGTGCACTAGCAGATATTACCTCTTAGTGTTAACAGAAAAACAAGAGCAGAATGAGGCTGGAGTGAATTTGTTTCAAAAGTATGATGACACATTAGGAGGCAAAGCATTCCGAAGCATCAGTAATAATGTGTTCCTCTGACCTCTCACCTTGCACGAGTTCCTGTGCTGGCTAATGGTCACCTTGAATTGGAACTAAGGACCGAGTATCGATCGATCGCACAGATTGCACTTTAAAAAACTTCAGAGAAAAAGGATCAAAGGAACAACTCACTTGATCAGGAAACAGTTAATTATATATTTTCATTATCTGGGACAGAATGTCTTCAATTGTAAAGGTATTGTACTAAAATATATAAATATATAAATATAAATCTGTCTGTCTGTCTATGTATGGCCCTTTCACAGCCTGTTCCAAGACATGCAGCAAGGCTGTGCCCTATTAGAATGCACCCACTGTCCCTGCTTTGACAAGGCTTTCAGACAGCAACCTGCCAGCTCTGTTTCTGGACACACTGCCAAATAGCGTCACAGTAACAGAGCATCTTCATGCTTTCTCTTATTTTCAGCATTAAAATGAAAAAAAAAAAAAAAAGCTAAGCAAAATCCCTAAGCATTCATTGTTTTTAGGGCTACTGGCTGCTTTGTGTGTTTCTATTTCCATTTCTCAGTTTGCTTTTTTATCTGTTTTCCATGATAAAAAGCACCTCATTCATTTCCCCCTGGAAGGGCAAAGCTGCTGGAAGAGAACATCTGTGCAGCCAATTAGCTGGGCTGGAAATGTGATATAATTGTTGTTTAAATATATTTAAATTACATGTTAATCACTATGTCATAATTTATAGGCTTTGAAAATAACTTTTTGTACTTCGGAGCCAAGCCAGATTTTACTTGTTTTTGCTGTTTTTAGTTTACAACGAGCTCCGCTTATTCCTCTCTCCCTCAATGCCCACATTTGAGGAGCTCAACTTTCCTGCCAGTAAATTGGCTGAGTAAAAATTAAGATCCTCGCCCCCGTCAGAATGAGCTGGGGTGACCTTAAAGTTCTGAGCAGAACAAAGCAGGGCTTTCAGTTGAAAGGCTTTTGTTTCTCCATTGTGCTGCTGTCTGCTGTCCATCAAAGCCCAATTTGTGGGTCTTTTTGGGCAGTCCTGGGTGCCTATGTTCAATTAGCTGCTAAGGGGATTTACAGGCAGCAGGACAGAGATAGAAAGAGATGGGTTATAAACCGGCAGGTGAGCAGGAGCTTGCTCCCGGTGGGTGGTTTGTAAGGGAGATGCACAGAGTACGGTTTGATTTTGTGGCCATATTACTGGGCCATTAATATGATTAATTGCGACTCAAATACCAGAGGCTTTAGAAAAGGAGAGTGAAAGTATGGTGTAAAACACACTTTAAAACATATTGTGCCCTAATGGTGAATTTATAGTTGAATGATAAATGTTTGAACTTTTGTCTTATTGCAGGTATGGCATAGGGTATGGTATACTTATTTTATTCAATATTGTCCCTAAGAGATTTTAAATGGTTAGGCAGATTGTGCTCTGAGATAGATTTTAAAATTATTATATAAACATAGCTTCTTAGGAAATACATACATGGCTAAATGATTAAAATCTATCTAAATCAAATATGGACTTAGCAAGTATTTTAACCTTCAAGTAATTATTGCTCTAGATAATAACGTTAGGATTATAGGTTCTATGATCAAGGAATACTCTAAATCCCTTTAACTAAAATAGAGCGTGTCTTTGCAAGACATTGTTAATCCATCAGCACTACTTTATTATCTAGACACTTCCACCTAGTAACTACTAAGAGTTCCCAGCATACACTCTCCAGGCATGTGTGCTTCACATTCTGATGAGCATTTCTACATATTCTGAGATCAGATAGCAACTTGGACAAAAGGTTTTTGCACTGTGTGAAATTTGTGATGCATTGTTGTAACTCTGTATCTTTCTCATAAATGAGTTTGCATTTCAGTGTTTTGAGACCTCTAGATTTAGAATCTTCATTTGGCAAAAGGCAACCATCAGAGAACAAACAAATGCACCCATGAGGACCTCAA